TTAGGCAGTTTTACGAATGTCGAATGCGATCTTTGAAAATAAATTTCACACAAGCAAAATTTGATATATAAGTTATATGTTTTATAAGTAAAATCTAAACAAACAACAGCTGAGCTGTCAATAAAAGCACTGAGGAAGTAAGTACATAATAAAATCTTTGGGCCTATTTGCACTATCATGAACGTGAGATGAACTTGACGATAACATGAACTGTCAGTTCAGTTTACTCTATCATGAACTCTCATGAGTGTGAAATTTGTTTTGTTTTGTGTAAACGTATAAAATGCTTGTATGTAGTATGCAGAGCACAGAAATTGAGAGTATTTAGCATTAAAAGGTAAACATAAACATAACATTGCATATATATGCGTGTCAAGCTGAAGAAACGCAGCAAATTTCATTGCGTGAAATTCATAAACTCACATTACACTCTCTTCCCTCTCTCTTCAATAAGCAACCGGTTTTCAAGTTCATGATAGTAAAAATCGGCCCTTTATTTTTATTAATTGATTACATAATTAAGATATAAAATGTATACAAATGATTTAATATATCAAATATATATTTAATTTTTTTATGTGATATATTATGTCAACTGCATATATGAGCTTATTATAAAGTCAACGTTCTCTCATTAATAAAAATGAGCAAATGCCTAGATGAGAGATTGTGAATGCATTATAAAGCTTTACTCTGAAGATTTTAGGAGCATTGATGTTGCTTCACATGTTTTCTTTTGTAAGTTGCGAGTATTTGTTTGCAACTCTAAATGAAAACAAAAACTGGTATTAATAAAGTCTTTATGACAAAAATTTATTAGCAAATGTAACAACCCTGCATTTTTCTTCTGTTTTTGTGTACAGTGGATTGATGTGACGTATTTGCATTTCATGCTTTTATTTTAAGCTGTTTTCGTAAACATTTGGTTTGCATCCGTGTGTGTGTATTTTTTTATCTTAATAAAGTCAGTATTTAAAGTTTTTAATAAATATCGTTTTGCCAGTATTTGTTAAATAAAATCTAAATTATTGCCGGAACTTTTGCTACATATGCGATAGGCTTGCTTGAAGTATGAAGAATTCAAATCTATGGTTGGTGATGAAATTACGACTAGGTTACAATGTCTGCAAGTTCGTTACAAATATTTAAATGCTTTTGCTGAAACATGGAACCTAATACGCATAGTGAATGTTTTGTTTACAGAAACGGAGCGGAACAATACGGGTTAGCAAAGTTTGTTATGAACGCATGCTATGCTTGCCGTATTTTATTGGTGTCATTAACAAACGAAGAAAAAATCAAATCCGGTATTGTATGTTAATAAATGATTTGATGGATGGAATTGCAGGCAGTGATATTCGCACATCTCATCTCAGCTTAACATAACGAATTAATATTGAAGTGTATGCATTAACTGACCTTATGGTGGTGACAGAAAACACAACTTCTGCAGAGAGTTAACTGTTGAACTGAAAACTCGTGTGTGTTTAGATATATTTTGCTTTTTCAACGTACTGCCTTATATTAACAACATGAAGCAATTATGATGTCCTGGTTAAAAAAAGCTAGAGCTATCGATTCGACTTATTTATTTTAATTGATTGACTTCACGGAACGATTAAGATGCTGCAGAAAATTGCTTAAAGAATTGTGATGTTTAAATTTATTTATAATTTACTTATTTATTTTTAATTTTTTATATATATTCAGACTAAGAGTTTAATATGTCTTCTCTTAAATAAGTTGAATTAAATTGTTGAATGGAAAGTAATAAACCTTTCTTATTCTGGATACATCCTTCAATTTGTCTGATCTGGTAGTGAGAGACAACACTGCATATCTGTATCGAACTCAAAAATATGATTGAATTGTAAGGAATGAGGAAAAGGCTGTGGATAAAACTATCCTTGCTTTTTTGGGCTGCTCTTACATGTTCGGAGTGAGTGTTTGACAATACTATTTGGAAGTGATTACAAAGGTACGTGTTGGTTCAACTGTAAAATTTGAATTTTTATTCGTAATCAAAGACTTTATCAGTAAATTATAAATCAATTTGGCAAAAAAAGCTTTTAATTATTGCGTCAGTTTCGAAAAGAAGTTAATAAAGTTGTTCATTACTTACTTTCATGCTTAATTTCGAAAATTCAACTTACAAATTACCTCTCAATTTAATACTTTTCCGAGCTAAAAACTATCAATCTCTATTGTTTTTGTCATTTCCATCATGAAGCTGCAGCATTCCCTATGTCAGGGTAGACTGGGCACACATCACTATTCGGTTCGTATCACTTTGTCTCTGCACTGCTTGTCTTGTCTAAAAACTTAAAGGACTTAAAATCTGTAGTTATTTGATTATTAATGCTCTATAAACCACAATGCCATTGTTCCGAAAAATCTGCTGCAACAAATTTGCATGTAAATATCTGTATTAAAAGTAATTTTGCCCATTAAGGCAAGGCAGACAATTTGATATTCTTGAATATTGCACGTAAGGATTAAAGTACTAGCTTGCGCAAACATTATAATTTCAACTAAGAATTTAATTAAATAACTTAAAAGGATTAAGTGTTTCTACTTAAGTTATAACATTTAGATAAGCTCTGAGCAAATGAGTATCTAATTTACGAAAAAGAGGAAAAATATTAATTAAGACGAGAAGCGAGAGTAACCAGCCTCTCGTAACCCACCGGATTAGCAAACCGGTGGGTGGAACAGAGCGTACGCGCGTACACTGACTGCTCGAGAAAATTATTACATGAAATGCTTGTGGCAAAAATAAAATATTACAAAAACTATTCAGTTAGTAGACAGTTTAATTAAGGCATAGGTAAGGTAAATATATTTATCTAACAGGATGTTTATACTAAAACCTTGTTAGCAGAGTCTTGCCAAAAATTTTTAACTGAAATAAAATGTTTGATAAATAAATAAATAAGAGCAGGTTACATACGGCAAATAAATACCAGGAATTAGAAATATCTGGGCAAACAAAATTTGCTTCAACAAAACCAACTTTTAAGTGAATTTCGAGCTTATGTTGTGCCGTGCAATCCTTTTATGTCCTGCTGCTGAACACACCCACATATACAATTATTTTTATATGAACATATGCGTTTATTGATATATACTTTAGTATATATATAATTTGGTAGCTTTATGATTGTACACTGGCACTATCACCGAACATAAACATTCTGCCAAAGGCAAATCTGTGCTCGAAAAATTGAAATGACGTCTACTTGGTAGGGCAATAGCAAACTTGCTATTTCAAATCAGTGATATCGCTTTTAATCTTCCAGAAAAGGCTAAACAAGACCATAAAGCACATTTCATATAATGCCTTGACTTCTTATCGGGCACATATTTAAGTTTCGCACACAATGTCCTCGTTAGGGCTGATATGAGTGCACTTAAAAGTATTCTATGCACACTAATGAAATACCGAGGAACATAGGAAAACGTTGAACATGTTCTGATGTACTGATGCTCGGATGCTCTGATGTTCTAGTGTTCTGCACTAAAGCCTTAAATAAGATAGTAAATATAACATAAACTTATAATGCACATACAAATATACGAGTATACAAAATAAATGGACAAATCTGCAGCTTTATTTATACATACTACAGCTATGCATATCAACATGCATTAAACCACATTGCTGTACGAATAGAAAAGTGTGGCTTGCTCCTGTGCTATCCCCAAAATATTTAAGCACGTTTAAAAATGATTCAATCTGATTGTTCACTCAGAAACTGTGTATCGCTCAGATTTTTGGTCTAATGCAATTACAGCATAGAATTTAGCATAGCATAGTTACTAAAATCTGAAATTCAACAATTCACTTTATAGAAAAAAATTAAGTTATGTTTGATATAGGCAGAATTTATTTTACTAAGAGAATAGACCTTCCAAGACTACTCCGGATATATGTATTTACATGTAATGACATTCCTGCTAATGAAGATGTCCATTGAGGTACTGAATGAATGGGCAAAATATTTCGGCAACACTGGAAATGTAGAGAACGATTACCTATCACCTATCAAAGCGTTTAGCGTTATGATAGGTGATAGGTGTCGATTACAATCGACACAAATGACATTTTTTTTAACTAAAAACAGTAAGAGAAACTAAATAGTATTTATCTAAAATACTATTTGAACTGAAGAAGGTGGGCAATTTTCTAAAGAAATTGTATCCAAGTCTGTTAGTAGTTGCAGAAAAATGAAGTACCCATTTTGTGCAAGAATATGCCATGTGGTATATTAACTACGATTCCGTGGTTCTAACCACGGATCCAAATTTTTCATTAGCGCTGGATTGTTGATGTGGATATTTAGGACCTTCTTCACGTTTTATTTAAATTTACATTTAATTACATTTTTACTTAATAATAGTTTTCTTATTTATAGGTAAAAATGGTAAAAACTAACTTAAATCAAATATTAAAACAACATATTTATTAAATAGATAGATAACATGAGTATCTGGCTTTTTAATGTTTTTTTTACCTGATTTTAAAGATTATTTTATAGCCGTTACCACAAATAAAAAATACAAGTTTTTATCATTCCAAAATTTGTTGGCTGTCAACTGTGGTAATCTGTCTTGTTTAAGCTACTTAATACACCACCTTAAGAAAAGACTGAAAGCATTGTCTATCTCATAGTGAGAGAAAAGGAGTATAAAAAGGAAAGGAGTATATTGAAAATGGAACATTCTTGAATGTTGATTTGTAGTCAAGTATGATTATAGCATTACTTACATATTCAATGCTTGATAATAATTTCTTAAAAAGAAATCTGTCTATTTTTTGGCTTGAAATATTCTATGGTTATTCAAGATTCTTCACAATTGGTTGTCAGAATAAACATTGAACAAAACCTATCTTTATACATGATATACTATTTTCCATCAAATAATTTACCCTTTTTTATGTTATAAAAAGAATATTTAACAAACACCTATATATTCTTTGAACATTATTACTTTTATTAAATGATAATACCTTTTAGGTATGACCAATATTTGGAAAAAACATGTTAGTTTGCATCGTGAAAAAATTTAAACTTATTTGTGAAATTTAGTTGCATTAATAAATTATTTTACGAAATTTTTTTTGTTATTTACGTGGAAACTTTTTTTCGAATAATTTTTACTTCTGGTTCATCTGCGCAACACTTTTAGAAGCAGTGGGACGTTCATCATAGTACATACCATTTAAATTGCGTTCTGGACGACGAAAGGCCCATTTTTCAACGGGTGAACCCTTAATTAGACAGTTTTCCGGGACAACACGTACTGATAATATAACGTTATTGATCCTGAACTAAAAAAAAAATTATTTTATAATATATTTATTTCACACTAGAATAGTTAGATGACTTCATATACTTACTTGGTTATTTTGTAATTTTCCAACAAACTTATAAGCGGCATTGTTATCGAAAAATCCTATATAACCACCACGATCTCCAGGAAAGTAGGAAACAAAGGCGACTGCAAATTCTCCTTTACCTCCGTTAGCACAACTGTCAACTTTGCCTGCACGTTCGATTTCATCTCGAATCATAGATTGTGTAACCTTTTCAGTTATACCACCAAAGGCAATAAGGGCTCCTCTCTTCTTATACTTTTCAAAAGCATTCCGCTCTCTTGGGTTCTGATTTGTGTTTTGCCATGAACGATATAATTCTGCGAAACCGTACGTTACCTTTTAATAAGAAATACTTGAAAATATACATAAATATTTAAATAAATACTGTATTGTTACCTTGTCTTTTTCAATAAAACGCTTAGCGTCTTCCTTTTCTTTAAAGGTTGCAAAAACGCTTCCACAAAATTTGAAACTGTTACTGCGTTTGTCAAAACTTTTGAGCATTTTAATGTTTCCAACCTTTTCAAAAGTGGCAAAAAAGTCAAGGAGTTCGTTCATTTCCAGATGGGATGGAAAGCCTTTTACAAAAACAGTACGGTCGGCGATATTCTTGCGTAGTTCTTCTGTATATACAGGTATAGGACGATCTGGGTGGCGACGTATTTTCTTGCGATCATCACTAACTACAATTAAATTCTTATCGCATTGTAATAAAGAATTAACAACTGTTTCGTAATTTTGACTTAATGCTGCGAGTCGCTTAAAGGTCATTAACTTTTCAATGGAAATCCAGCCATCGTCTTTACGCATTTCAGATATGAGATACTTATCACAGCACAAACTGTCATCAGCAAAGTAGTGTTCTACCTGACGAACAATGGCTTTTTGAAGTAAGGGACTGAAGGCATCATGACAATTTGCTAATTGTACATAACTTGCTAATTCTTCGGAATCAGATAATTCAGCACCACCTGAGAATTCACCGGCTACTCCGGAAGAAGCTGCTAATTCATCAGGACCAGTTAGTTCTACAGAACCAGCTAACTCAGCAGCATCTGTTATGTCACCAGAATCTGTTAGTTCACCAACACCGGTTGATTCGGTATAACCACCTAATTCAAAATTGATTAACTTGGTAGAATAATCCAAATCGCCAGTATTTGCTAATATACCAGCACCTGCAGATTCACCACATCCGACTAATTCGGCAGAACCAGCTAATTCAGTAAACATATTTAATTTGTCAAAATTTGTCAGTTTTGTAGAACATTCACCAATACCACCAGTGCAAGTTAGCTCACCACAACCAATTAATTCGGCGAATCCTCCTAATTCATTAGAACTTATTAACTTGTTAGACCCATCCATTTCAATAGCATTTGCTAATTCACCGGAAGTGCTTAATTCACCAGAACCAACTAATACAGTATAACTTTCTAATTCAGTGAAACCGGTTATTTTGATAGAATCTGCTAATCCACTGGAATCGGGTAGTTGTCCAAAACCGGCTAATTCGGTAGAATTTGCCAATTCACTAGAATCCACTATTTCACTAGTATCGGTTAATTTGGTAGATTCACCTAACTCGGAACTGGTAAATTTGGTAGAACCATCTAATTCGTCAGAATTTGCGAATCCGAACGAACTGGTTAGTTCGCTAGAACCAATTAATTCAATAGATCCTTTTATTTCAGTAGAACCGGTTATTTTAATAGAACCTGCTAATTCACCAAAACCGATTAATTCTCCGGAATTGAAAATTTCGATAGAACCTGATAATTCAGTACAACCGCTTAATTCGTCAGAACCTGCTACTTCTCTAGGATATGTTAATTTAGCGGCTTCTTTTAGCTTACCAGGACTGGCTAATTCGGCAGAACCTGCTGATACACCAAAACCTGTCATTTCACCAGCATCAGCGACTAATTTTCCAGAACTGGTTACTTCTCCACAGCTGACCAATTTTCCAGAACATATTGTTCCACCAGAACTTGCATATAATTCACCAGAAGCGGGTAGTTTTTTAGAGGTAGATGATTTGTTAGAATCTTCCAATTCGTCAGAACCAGCTGATTCATAAGAGCATATTATTTTGTTAGAACAAGCGGCTTCTTTTCCAGAATTTCCTAGTTCTTCAGAGTTGATATGCTTGCCAGAAAATATTGTACCGCCAGGACTTGCGACTAACTCACCAGATGTAGATAGCCCCTTAAGATTTACGAAACTGCTAGAACCCATTAAATAGGCAAAATCTATTGATTTATCAGAGCCTGTTATTGCATCATAACTAGCGGCTAATTCACCAGAATTGACAAGTTCTTCAGAGCTGAGTAATTTGTCAGAGCATACTATTTCACCAGAACTTTCGACTAATCCACCAGAACTGGCTAGTTCTGAAGAGTTAACTAATTCACCAGAACCAGTGGCTGATTTACCAGAATTGACAAGTTCCTCAGAGCTGACTAATTTGCTAGGGCATACTATTTCACCAGAACTTTCGAGTAATTCACCAGACTCGGCTAGTTCTGAAGAGTTAACTAATTCAACAGAACCAGGGGCTAATTCACCAAAACTGATTAGTTCTCCAGAGCTGATTAATTTGCCAGAGGATACTATTTCATCAGAACCGACAAGTTTTGAGCAGCTAATTAATTTGCTAGAACCATCGGCTAATTCTCCAGAATTGACAAGTTCTCCAGAGCTAAGTAATTTGCCAGAGCATACTAATTCACCAGAATTTTCGACTAATTCATCAGAACCGGGTAGTTCTGAAGAGCGAACTAATTCACCACAATTAGCGGTTAATTCACCAGAACTGACTAGTTCTCCAGAGCTGATTAATTTGCCAGAGCAAACTATTTCACCAGAACCGGTTAGTTTTGAGCAGCTAATTAATTTGCTAGAACCATCGGCTAAAACACCAGAATTGACAAGTTCTCCAGAGCTGAGTAATTTGCCAGAGTATACTAATTCACCAGAATTTTCGACTAATTCACCAGAACCGGCTAGTTCTGAAGAGGGAACTAATTCACCAGAACCAGCGGCTGATTCACCAGAACCGACACGTTCTCCAGAGCTGACTAATTTGTTAGAGCATACTGTTTCACCAGAATTTGTAACTATTTTAACAGAAGCGGCTAGATTTTGAATATTCTTGACTATTTCGGTAGAACCTGCCAACTCGCCAGAACCTAATAATCCACCAGAGCCTGCTATTTTAGCAGAAGTAGAGGTTAATTCACGTGCGCAAGATAGTTTTTTAAAGCTGATTAATTCAATAGAATTTGCCAATTCGGCAGAGCTTGCGGCTAATTCAGTAGAATCAACTAGTTCTCCAGAGCTGGCAATTTTAGTAGAAGTAGCCAATTCAACAGGATCGATTATTTCTCCAGGGCAAACTAATTTGTTAGAACCGTCTAACCCCTTAAAACCCGCGCATTTTATTTTGGCGTTTAGCTCATTACCAACTATAACTTTAGTGTCATCGACATTACGTTCAATATTTTCAGCCATTACTATTGAATAGAAGTTAAAAATTTCCGAAGAATAACCACAAATCAACGAATTCAAAATTTGTACTGGAAATCAGGAACTGAAAGAAAAATCTATGTCAATGAAGTTTACTATTATTGGCAATAGAGAAATCCTGCTTGATAAACTGTCCTTTTTTAGGGTGATTGCAAGTGTTCGGCACAAATTTGATTGTGATTTGAGAATTTTGAATTTAACTGAAAAGAAAATAATTCAAATATTGAGGATCTAAGAAACTATTTTTATATATATAAAACTACTATTAAATACTTATGTGTGCATAACTATTAAAAAGTTCGGAAAAGCAAATGGTCTCAACTGTCAAAATACATATATGCATGTATATAAGTTCTATCAAGTTCATTATTTTCAACTCAATTCCCAATTATATGTACCATATAGTAGTACATTGAAGGCACACAATATATTATATGTATCACACCGTCCCGCGTCTGTTTGCCCGCGGAGGCCATTGCTTCGAAATTTTTTATTCATTTTCTTACTTTAATGGAAGAACTTACTGTGATTTTGAAATTTATGGAGCTTCAATGAACATTATGCTGTACTATAAATTTGACATGGGATATATATTTTTTTTTATTTATGCCAGATATCCTTCAACGAAATAAATGCAATTATAATACCAGTACACAAAATAATATATTTAAAATGTTATGTTTTTACTTAATTTAAATTATGACATACAATTCTTATCTGCTACCTTTTTTTATTGACAGTTCAAATTTACAAATTTCATTTGGAAATGTTCTAGACAGAAACTGAAAAATATTCTTTTGACTCAATATTTTCCAGTAAATCGAATATTAAATTCACTTTAAATTCAAGTTTATTAATGACCGACCTGAAAGCCACTAAAGACTCCCATTTATTTTCTTCAACTAATAATTAATACGTATACACCTGAATATTTCAGCCATAATGCAAACCGATCGCGGCATTGCTTGAGACCTACAATAGCGCTGATAACCCTTGTAGCTCCCAGTTGCAATCTTCCAACAAAATGAAGTACTCATTAGGAAATTGTTATATTTATATATAATTTTCATAACCAAGAAACTAAAACGGGAAAAAACCATATTGGCACAAACACTTCAAAATAAGCATTTATATATGCTTATTTACTTTAAATGTTATAAAAATCTATTTAATAATTATTTATAAATATTCTAAAATAATTTAACGATTTTTAACAATAATTTTACTTACATTTACCACGATTATTGACTATGAAGTTTGAGGAACGATGCGTGTATGTTCTCCTAACAAAGACTAATTACAACTGAATGAAAAATTTTTAACCTATATATATCGATTCATATATGGCTCTCTTTCTAATTTCAAATTTTACAATTTTGACATATATCTCAACGTCAACTTTCTTATTTTAAGTTACCGCTGTACTGTTAAAATACATGTGCTCATACCAGAATAAAAGTATATAAACCCCCTTTATCTTACCAATAGACGTGAAGAAGTACACTGACGTTTTTTTTAGACTCGTCTTGCTCTGATAGTGTTTCCAGCAATAATGATTTAAAACATTTATTTAAACAAAATTTAGTAAATTATTAAGGCACAGAACCAAACGAAAAACATTTTAATTTAATATAAATAAGATATGTTCTATTCTTCTCGTAAGAAATTTGAAAAAAAATTTTATTAAATAAAAGTCTATGTCTATGTGATTACTGCTTTTGTTAAGAATTTATATGAGAAAGACTTCAACTATTTCTAAATTGCAAGTAAATTAGTTTCCTTGACAAAAGGTGCTCTTTAGCGCCTCTATTTTGGATTTCAAGATTTAGTCAAGCAACTTAAAATTATTTTTCCCTCTAGATTATCAGTAATATTTTCATATAATTGACATTATGTCAATGTCACTCATCAAATAGATTTTTATATGAAAAACTCTCTCATTTAGGCGGTTTTGTGTCGTTATTATCCAAAATTTTATTGGCTTACAATTGTCTAGGCAGTTGATGTTGATTATTTTCAGTTTCCGTGAAAAAATATATTGCATGTATTAGTCAGTTTTCAATACCGGATTCAGTTTCAGATATGTTTTAAATACAGAAAGCTGTTGTTGTTGTAACCTGTGTAATCTAAGTTATAATATGCCCTGAATGCAGGAACGTAAATGGAAAACAGATCATTACTTAAAATGGGATGGGAAGCAAGGAGAGATTGGCATCTGTAGAAGATGAGGGACGTCCAGTGTTTTTTACGTGATTTCCTGCCATCGATGGCTTAACACCACGGTGCTCTTAACACACGTATTAATCAACGCCCCATTGGAATAGCCTTCCTTATTCCGCCGGTACCAATGAAGAGATTCATGCAAGTTATAACTTCCACCTTGGTAAGATGCGAGGCCTACTTACTGACCTCTGCTACAATTTGGGCTGCAGCACCCTGTTTGAAACGCACACCACGGCGAATAAATGACAACCAAAACATTCTTCCCGCGTAATTTTTGGTATTAACCACAACCACTTCGAGTCCAACAGCAATGGTCAGCAGAGCCAAAGCTGTCGGGCCACTGACCCCCGAAGCACCAGATAGTATCATCTCTGGTCTGATGTCGCAAGTTGCCGCCCACAACTTACTACCATTCGCACTTCTTGCATAAGTGCCAGACTGGAACTGGGGAATATTAGTCGCCTCTTACGACAAGCCATCCTAACCGCGGGAGAATTCCTTTCCCCTCTCCGCAGGGAAAGAAGATGAGGGAATGGGCGATACAGAATTTTAGTGGGGTTGCGCCATAAGCTGTACATCCAAAAAACGTGGATAGACTAGTCCTATTAAGTCACACAGCCATTTAGTTTTTTATCCGAATATGATTGCTAACATTGAACATTGTAAAGCGAGATATTCAATTCATTGCTTAAGTGATTATTATAACCGAGTTAAAAATTTTGGTAGATCAAAAAAGTAAAGAAATTTGGAACATATAAAAGTGTATTATACCCTGTGGATATTCTTATCGGCGGTTCAAATGTGTATATATTATTAGCCTTACAATATTTTCATTAATATTCTCTGCATTACAATTTATTTTGTTATTTGGGACCTACAAGTTTTCTGCACAGCTAGTTCTTGACAATAGGTCTTAATAATGATTATAATACTTTCTGTCCATGGTTTATGGAGTAAACAAACTGGAGTTTGTGTTTATTTTATTCAATGGAAACATTCATTTACTATTAGTAAGACACCATAGTTGTTTGAAATCTTCGGAACATATATCTCTTTCATAGTTAAGAATCTATAATTTATAGTAACATGCGTAAGTAGAAAAAGTAAAGTATACACAGTATTATATTTAGAAACTTTATTTTGTAGTTTTTGTGTTCTCATAAACCGGATTTTTTTCTTAAATCACTGGAAATTGCAACAATGAACATAAGTTAAAATAAACATAATTGTTAATGATATTTGAATAATGATTTTAGTTTATCAATCAATTATTATTTGTGAATACACAAGGTTTTTAAAAATTTTGAAAGGCCATATTAAAACGATGATTATTTAGTTACCATACAGGCGATATGAAACACGTTTCCATATGTAATCATTCCCGAAACCGCAATATTTGTTTGATTTTTTATGTGATATATAAGGTATTTCTTCTGCCATTGTGGCCAATACTCACATTTTTCAGATAATGAAAAGTGCTGTGAAAACATAGGTTCGGATTTTTTATTATAATCGGCGATTATGGAAGAAAACATCCAAAACGATAAACTTTTGTCATAACTCATGAGGATCAGTTGTTCATTGTCATGAGTAATATTAATAGATACTATGTCGTCGACGTGTAAACGCAAAACTGCCACAAGCACAGCATCCATTATGTCCCATATCATAGTTTCATGATCTTTTCCACTGGAAATCAAGTATCTGCCACAAGTAGAAAATTTTATTTGTAACACTGCTGCTTTGTGGCCTTTAAATATACGAACTTTCTCCCCGGTTACTACATTCCAAATAATTACTAGGGCATCACTACTGGCGCTGGCAAGGTAGTTACAATTCGAATGTATATCGATTGAATTAATATCCGATGTGTGATATGTAAGTATTTGCTGCGAATTCTTACTATCATTTAATGGCCACATATAAATTCTTCTGTCGTAACCACACGATGCTATAAATTTGTATAGTGGAGCGAATTGAACCTGCCAAATCGGGCCCATATGGCCGCTATATGTTCTTAAACATACCCAACGTTTAACTGACCACAAACGCACTGTCGAATCATTTCCGCAGGATAATATGTACTCATTAAATGGAGCAAATTTAATATAATGAATAGTTGCAGTGTGGCCTCTCAACAGTGTCTTCTTGCAACGTCCCAATTCACATACTTCTGGACTTGAAATTGGATTTTCTTTGTCATTTTCAAATTCTTCTATTACAACAATGTCTCTTCCAATTCCAAACGCTAAAACGTTAGCATCATTTGAGAATGAGGCACAATTTACCATGTACTTAGGAAACTTTATATTGAGCACTCTGATATTAGGAAAAGTTTTGTCACTGAGCACTTTCCTGTTGATGAATTCGTGCCAATATCTTTGATGGAGGCTCTGATTATCTTCTGTTGTTATGAATGAACCAGGTTTTGGCATTGGAACAACCCGATGACCAGTGGATCCATCTCTGGAAGTTGAAATATTTGAATTTATTTTGTGTGCTCCATAGAAACATCCTTCATATACTTCAAGAAAAAGGAATTGAGAGTTCACAGATTTTATTGATTCTTCACCGTGGGGTTTTATCTCTGGAAATGGTACCTCTAACACATTAAAATTTATGTATTTAGATACGATTAAATTAATAATTCTGTTGCATTTAAGATGACCTTTAAATTGCCCCAACAATGGAAAAGTTATGATCATATTATACCCAAATGTACTGAGATTCAAGAAGTATTCAATCTTTTCTAAATCTTTGAAGCATTCAACACCTGTTAACTGAGCACCGTCTGATCCTAAAATCTTTGCATATGTTTTGTACATATCAGTTGCAAAACTTGTATATCCATGAAGCATTAACTTGTAAAAAATAACGAAAAAAACGGGAACAATTAACTCTGCGAGGATTTTTTTTTGATCAGGAATTCTGCTGTCAATATAGCGCAATAGCGTGTCATATGCAGTGTTAAGAGGTTTAGGATCCTCTAACATAAACTTCGGAATAGCTTTGTTGACTATAAAAAGCTCATCCGCAAATTTTAATTCATCTACACTAACATTTAATTCATTTGAGAGCGCTTGTAAAGTTCGCGACAATTTATATTTTCTCATAAGATACACCATTTTAAGAAGATCATTTTTATAAATGCCGGCAATATGAGTTTTATTTTCGATTTGCTGCGAAGAGCTAGGCATGCATTCGTTTTCAGCGATATTTGTGGAACTTTTATCGATACCTGATTCATTTTTCTCTTTTTCCTTGCTTATGATTTCACATGTTTTAACTAAATTATATTCACCATTGTCCATGCTCTGCTCTTCTTGTCTAGCTGCTTTTTCAATGTTCTGAATCCAAAATGCCTCCGCAGTTATCTCATTTGTAACCTCTTCTTCCGGGGAAACAAATTCCTTTTCAATTGTTTTTTCAAGTGAATTATTGCTTCCTGACATGATTATCTACTCACTTTTATTCGTGCAGTTCTAAAATTTCTAAATTTTCTAAAATTTCTCAAATGACAATTTCTAATAAAATATTTATGTCAAATATTCGAAATTTCGGCAACGGTAAAAAAAACTACTATGTCTATGCGAAGATGTTTTTATAAGCTATGTGCACACTTCTAAGATATGTTATAAAATTGTACACTCCACAGTAGCAATCAACGTTATCCTCTACAGTCAAACTCTAGAATGGACGCGTATTGTGTTTTTAGTTCTTATATTTAATATATATAACTTATTACACATACATACGTTATGTATACCATATAATAAAATATACAACTATTTCAATAGGTGATAGTCTGCAGTTAATGACAGCAGTATTACTATATGATGACAGTTTGAGTGCGAAAAGTATATTAAACCCATATATATATTTGTTTCGGTTCATCATATTGTATACTAGAAATAAAAAGAGATAAACGTAAGCAGCTTGAATGTGTTAAAAATGTCAAAAATATTGAATTTCACAACGTTGTATGCAAAAGCGTTGTTTTTGGAATACATTTTTATCCGATTTTTTAGCAGTGGGCGCGGTCATACCCTTTTTTGGAAATACATGCAGAATTTTCATATTTTCCTAATACCTAAATTTTAGGTCTAAGTTTCTCTCTTGAGAAACTTTTAATTGTAGTAAATTTTTAATAATATTTTAAAAAAAATTTTATGATAGGGAACCATTTGTACTACATTGTACTTTATTGGATCGATTTAGGAGTGCTGTCATCCAATGTTGTATTCCTTTCATGTTGGAAAATACTTCACGACTGTATAAACTACAAACGCAAAGCTGATGGAAAACACTATCCCAATTCTTTTGTTTATAATGCTGCCAATATCACCCGATAACAATATTTTCTGTTATCCTTAGCTCTTCGATACTTAACCAGGTGTCATAACCTCTTACACGACATACTGCGCACTGATCACCTGTCCATTGATCTACTACTCTTTATAAGACACAAGCCTCCACAGTTCCTAGTCCTCCATTTGGACGACATTGCCCACTCCTCCTCTGCAATCCCGTTGTATAATCGTGGCCACATTAACCGCCTGCATAGAGTTTAAGGTTAAATAATCAATTTAACTAATTTTTTCTAACTTTATTTACAATTACCCACCCCTAAACCCGTTCACATGTTTTCTGTATAACTTAGATATATATACTTCATAAATGTTAAGTCTTTTAAGTTTTTCTTTTTTCTATATTCGGAAGTGGGACGCCCAGCCTCGGACCTGTATGGTCCCCTGCTTGGAATGTACTCTATACGTATTACTGAGAGGTGGCTTTAGTGGATTCAAGTCTTATATTGTGGCTTTTGATGTTTTCTGCCTACTATAAAAAGAAAATGGTATATATTTTATTTGTTGAGAGCATTTATCAACTTGTCAATTTATTAAGAAAACAACTTTTTATTTATAGCATATGGTAGAATATTACCTTGACAAACAGTCAACCGTGGCAAATAAGCAAGATGGTGAATAATTGTCAATGCATGACAAATTTGTCAAGTTCAGGGAATAAGGAAGAAGGATTATATACATATTTGTCTAATTTTTTAATACATTGTAATTGTATTATTGTTAACTTTTTTTGTCGAAAGTGACGCGTCTTATGACGAAAAGAAACTATTTATATGTTACAATTATATACGGACTATAAACTAATTAACAAAATTCCAGTATTTCCTAAGACTACTGATAATGAGCATTTGGCAATACTCGAAATAGCGTTGTTTGGTTATCCAAATTTCAATAAATTAACAACAAATTTCTGTTGTTGTCTTTTTATTTCTATTTCAATCCTTCTAAAATAAATATAATTATTTATTATTATTGCGATGGGTGTTTCGCAATACTTGAAACAGCTATATGTTTAGCCAATAATTCAATTAATTAATAAATAATAAAATTTTATTGTTGTAATTTACTACTGTTCGAAATACGTTTCTATTGTAAACAATCTTTCTTTTGGCAACACGCAAGTTAAAAATAAATTTGATGTAGAGATGTTATGGAATTACCCATGAATGGAAATATTCATTCACCTTTCCAATGTCGCCTGAGCGAATCCTGGCGTAACATTAGTATGACTTTTTCCGTATTGGGTGCATAGATTAGGTTCTATGCACAAAGAAAGAGTAATAATATCATGCATTAGTTAATGCCTCTATAAATGATTATTAATAAAATTTAACAATTAAAAATAAAAACTTAATTATTTAATTCAGTCATTGTACAGTTGGTATATGATTTCGTATAATAGAAATAATAATCTTTATAGTTAATAAATTATAATTTGAGCGTTACCCTTAAATAATTGAATTTAATTTTTTAATCTAGTTACTTTTATATATTAATTAATCTCATACATAAAAAATTTAATATTGTATATTTTACATAGATACATTTTATTCAATATACTCTTATGAATTTATTTTCCACCCTTTAGGCATTCACCAGTGAGACTTGTGCGGAGGTTGTCTGTTAAATATGGACCAAGTGGATAATAATGCTCTTAGCGCAGCTCAGAAATTAAATTCCATATTCAAAGAAGCCTTTTCAATATTTGACAAACGTGGCAATGGTACTATTGAAACAAGCGACTTAAAAGGATTGTTACATTGTCTTGGTGAATATCCTAAATACGCTGAATTGCAAATGTTGATTAATGAAGTGGACCCAAAAGGCAAAGGTTTCATACGTTTTCCTGATCTCGTAACTATAATGGGCCGTAAATTGCGGTTAGGCAGTCACAATGAGAAAGACATTTTGGAAGCTTTTTGCATTTTTGCCAGTGACGTTGACGACTACATCACACCTGCTAAGTTTAAACGTGCCATGGAAAAAGCTGGGAAAAGAATATCTGACGAAGAAATTGGCGAAATGATTGCTGCAGCCGATAAGAACGGAGACGGACAAATTGATTTCGACGAATTTAAAGCTATAATCAACGGTTCCTGAAATTTCACATTCCCCCGCACAATTGTCTTTTTGCAGACCAAAGGTGAATTGTTTTGGAAAAAAACGCCTAAAAGTTTATTTTCTTAACAAAAGTCAAAATTGTAATAAAACAAGTAAGAGAAATCACAATCATATTTTTTTATTATAATTTTAGAACTATTTTATATTATTTTTAATAAATCATGTAGCACTTCATATATTAATCAAGCTTTTCGAAGCTTTGAACATGTTTATGCTCGAGTATGCTTAAATATATTCGAACACCATATGGTATTCGAACATTAAATCTTACGCTTCAATGTTTGATTAAAACATAACGAAAAAGAGCCAAAACATATAGCAGGTTCGCTGTTCGAGTTGCACGAACATTTCCGAACGTTTGAAGCGTACAATCTAAATGTTCGAATTTAAATATGCTCTCGAAGTAACTGTTGAAACAGTTTAATTTCCGAATCCTTTATGGCATGACGCATTAAAACCCTCTATTCTGACAAAAGAAACAACACTAACTTCCTTCACCACTGTTCAGTATTTTACAAAGGGCGATCATATTGTCCAGGTCTTTCCAATATATCTGGGTATAAAAGATATAAATATATATATATATTTATATATATATATATTTATATATATATATATTTATATATATAATTTATATATAAATATTTATATATAAATTTACATATATTAATATATATATATTTATATATATATATTTATATATATATATTTATATATATATATTTATATATATAAAATAACCGCTCCTTCTATGTCAATAGAATGTTGGCTATATCTCTCCCATTCTTAACTTCGACAGAAAATTTAATGTCAAATTTCCATGTAGAGATTCTTCTTTAGGTGAGGGCTTAACCATTTTCACTGACGGATCCAAAACAAGTAGTGGTGTAGGCAGTGAAGTATTCTTAGAGGAATGGACTAAATCTTCTTACTTTGGGCTTCCAGATCATTGTAGTGTCTTTCAGGCTGAAATGATCGCCGTTAGAGAAGCTATAGCTTCTTTAAATATACATATTATCAGACAGTCAAGCTGCTTTAAAGTCCTTGAGTTCAGCCCAATTTACATCTAGAACGGTTTTTGACTGCTATACATCTCTAAACGAAATGTCGACGAAAACATCGGCTCTAAGAGCCCTCTTTCTTGAGGATCAAAGGTTCTTGGTGGTTTTAAACCATGAGTTTTTCCTATAGATACGGTAACACAATGATCCAACAGACCTCCTAAGTGAATCCGCTAGGGATCACCGGTATAACCTGACGTAACCTAAGAACTAAGAACTACTTGAACACATCCATTACATATTCCATTCCAGTGACATGTAGACACAAGAAATATTTGTGTCATGTGATCCAATATTTAAATAAATTCCATTCCCATAAATTCCTTTTGCACGCAGCAGTAAATTTTGCATGAACACAAACTTTAAGTTTGAAACTTTACAGATAAAATAACTTCATTTCCTTTCATCTACGAGTCCCAACCAGTTAAAGCAAATTTTTAGTAAAGCTTCTTCATTTACTCGTTAAAATGAAAGTATTTATGCGAGAACAAAAATTTGTGTGAGTACGAGTAAGCGAGTTCCTCTTCCTCTTCAGGATAAGTAGGAGTACGGCAATGTGTGAAATTGTGCTTAACGAGTCGGAATTAATCTAATTGCACTCATGAATATTATTGTTCAGTTATTCTGTGCTCCACTTCGGTTTGTTCTTTTAGTTTTTATTGTTGTTTGTTGTTTGTTATTTGTTATTTGTTTATTGGTTACTTGTCCTTTGTTGTTGCTTTTTATTATGCTTGTATTTATAGCATTTTATTGCGAATTAATACAAACCCACAGTCTTAGCAAATAAAGCGAGTTTGCATATTAATAAAATTGTAATTTAACCGACCGCAGCATGAACGTCTTCACTACTTTGCAGGCACTCAACTTGTTGCAGATTTAGAGTAGCCTCAAGGAACTTCAAAATCGTGGAATGAATTACCAAGAAATTTCTGATTTATCGAGAAATAAATATAACATAACATATGAAGTATTTTTGATCAATTTATCGTTTTCTAAGCACTGGGATTGGACGAGCGATTTTGGTAAATTCTTTGCGCTTTACCTTAATCTGAACAACTTGGTCCATTACGCTATAGCTTGGTATAGCTTGATATAGGCCGAAAGCAAAAATTCTGGTGAATAGCAATGTTATGTTATAGCTACTACCACGCTAATGAAAGAGTGCTATCCTACTGGATACTTGACTGTACTGATAATGGTATTAATGCTAATGAAGCTGTGGATAAATTAGAAAGAACCTGTTCGTCTAAGAAATTTCGCAGAACGGAGTCGTTTTTTGAAATAACTTTGTCCACATTATGGATTTAAAATGTGTCCAAATACAAAATGTGAAATACAAATTGTACAACTTCGCTATTGGTGCGATATTTCACCTAACCATTCGACCTAAAAGGCGTTTCGATATTGCTGGTAGGTCACCTCACATAGTTCACGGGGCGGTACGCAGATCTTAGGTCAGTCATTGAATAATCACAAAGCTTATGAGGGATACACAAATCAGTTATCAAAGAGTAAAAGTGCCCAGATGCACTAACTCGGAAAAGGCTCAACACAGACATATGTATTCTTAAAATTTATATCTTAGACATACATATTTATATCTTTTTATCTTATGTACATATTTGTTTATAAAACTTGTAACATAATAAGATTATAAACATTTTAAAAGAACCCAATGCTGATGAGCTATAATGGTGATAAATCTTTGACGTCTTCAAATAAATTGGTAAGAACATTTTTGAACAACTGTCAATGTCTCTAGATTTATATTCGCAGAAAAAAAATGTCGTATCTAGGTATCATCTAATGTTTCCGGAGAATACTGATATTTCTTTTATTAACAGTCTAGAAATACGAATTTTGTCTATCTTATAACTGGTACCCTCTTATCCTCTAGTTCTAAATAATCGCAGGAACTTCTTTTTCTGTTTATTATAATTTTTTTTAATAATAACTGATTCATTACCACTAAATTCAATATGTCAAGAAGGTTAGTGAGATTTGCTCAAATGTAAGCTCCCAACAATTTTAGCTATTCGCACCTCACATCGAATAAAAGTGAATGTAATAGATTGCAATTGAAAACTTTTCGAACGGAGAAAGTTTCAAAAAGATTAAATTAAAACGGAGAAAGCATAAAATGGTTCATTATGTGTTTTGCAATGTTTTATTTCAACTAAAATTAATAGCAAACTCTGATTTTGTAGCGACTTGAAATATGCAAAATGAGTAAGAAACAAAACTTGCCTGAGTTGAAGGGATTTTTTGTTCACATCTCCAACCTTCTTTTACTTTTTCTTAACTTCTTTAGAGATTAAATTTAACATTACCAGTTTAATAATTAAGTTTAGTCTTTCAGTGCGAATTTCTCTATTCGAAACTCATTTTTAGTTACAATTTTGAACATTTTTTGTTGCGTCTCTCTCCGCAAAGAAAGCCCTGCAGTAACCCAAACAGTCTAGCATCCCACGTCCAACTACGAAATTCTCACTATTGCACTACAGTTAAGTTAATAGAATATAAAAATACTCGTAATTTTAAACAAATAAAAAAAGTTACAAAATTGGAATTAAGTTCCATTTGAGTAGATTTTGCACATTTTGCCATCAAACTTTTTACATTTACAATTCGCACTTTGCACTTTGGCCGCTTCTGGAGTGCTGGAGCTGGAGTGCAAGCCCCCTCCCGTTGGTATATTGCATGTTAAGCAACATCTGTTGTTGTTCAAAATGGTGCAACAAAGTTCATCCTGATTATGGAAAATACGATAATTGAAACTAATGGGTCTTCCATATGCGTTTCTTTTGCAAACAAAGTTTGCTTCAACTAACCTTCAGCATGGAATGAATTCTCATTTATTATTGTTCGATGCCAAGCAAAGTATCGAATTGACGTTTGAAATAGTAAGAACTCCGCTGTTATATAGCTTAAAAGTGATTAAACGCTATAAAAACTACCGCTGTAAGAGGAGGAAGCTCAAACCAATGCATGGATTTTGTGGAATCCGATTCCACATCATTGTGTATTCTCACTGTTGGTTTTCGGAGATACGCAAACTAAAACACATTTTTCCTGAAAAAAATGAAAACCAAACGATTCATATATTTTCTTATTCAAAAAATTTAATACATTAGACTTTTGATCGTTTTTTAAAACGCCACAAAGTAAGGTGGTTCCTTAGTTGAAGCAGTAATTTTTTCGAGATATAATATACAAAAGTGTATCTAAGTTAGGTTAGGTTATACCGGCGATCCCTAGCGGATTCACTTAGGTCTATTGGCCACCCAAGAACCTTTGGCGAAGCCTAAAATGCTATTTAGTGTCAAGTCCTGCAATTGGTCAAGATTCTCAGAAAAGGAGGCTCTTAGAGTATTGAGTCACCGCCGTGCATGAGTTGGACAAAAACATAGTAGATGAGAGACACTCTCATCGTCTTCCCCACAGCTGCGACAGATTTGATTGAAAGGGAGAGCTAATCTTATAGCATGGTTCCCTAGTTTACAGTGATCTGTAAGTAAACCTATCAAAAGACTAATACCTCTACATTGTGTCTAAATGATTTATGTTTTATTAACGAAACATAGTTTTGGTAAAAATATGTTGAAACTGATATAACATACTAGCTAATTGCTCGTAATTTCTCGTGTGTTAAAGCAAATCGCGGTGTCACTTATCCTCTTGAAAGATAGTATCTTTTTAAATATTGAACATTTGTGGTAAATTATATATTTTCCTTATAAAAATTCTCTTGTACTAAGAAGAGTGTATGACAAATTATGAAATAAATATTTTTGACCCATATATAAAATAAAATTCAACATTTAAAATTTCAAACATAACCAACAGAATGGAGTCGTTGTCGTTTTGATGTTTGTTTACAAAAACTTGTGTTGTATTTTATTTTTATTTTTTGTTAAT